TTGAAAATATTATAGTTCGAAATTTTAAACACCGTATCCAGTCTTATTAGCAAAGAGGTGGGCAAAAAATTGTCAAAACTAACCCAGCAATTTTAATAGATATCCGACATGTGTAATTTGCTTGGATGATATATTTCAACTGATGGTTAATTGTTAAAATGTACTGTAAAAAAATATCGTTAAAACAATTTGTTGCCTTCTTTTTGCCAAAATCATCACAAGGTACATAAACGGTGGTCTTTCCATTTTCAGAACGATTGCCAAAATACACTCGGTAACGTATCAGTGCACAACCATAAGTATTACTACCTCTGTTCCAAAATAAAAAATACAATTCATAGCACAATGTCACGTTTTAGTACCTTAAGTTTGACTAATTATAGATAAAAAATTATCCATGTTTATGATACCAAACAAATACCATCAGATTAATTACGAAATGTATTTTCATAATAAATTAATTTAAAGACATAACTATGAATATTATTCACTAAAAACTTGATCAAAGATGAATCAATTTTCGTGCCATACAATCCATAGTTGCATTCTTTTCAGGATAGAGGCAGTACTAAAAATAGCCCAGCTAATAGCACTGCTGCCATCCATGCTCTGAGTTTTTGAGGATGGCGGATGGCCACAAGTATAATAATGGCCCTGTTCGCTTTGTTGAAAAGCCATAGCTGAAAGTACTATTCGCTGATTTGTTAGGGCCGTTCGGCTGTCCTGAATTTCGGTCGGAATTCACTGTTTACGGCTGAAAACACTATTCACACTCTCATAAATTTCTCCAGATTCCTCCAAATTCCTCTCAGCGAACAGGGCCATTGTAAGAGAAAAACATTGTTCGTTCGCTAAAATAGTACGGCTCATAAGACAAGCGAACGGGGCCAATGCCCTCAAGTGAGTTTGCCTGAAGCTTCAACATAGCTTCGTCCTGCCATCCTTGCGTTGGCAAGAACCTGACGAATGGTGCAAACCTTGCTCAACATCAAGCCAAATGATGTACAGTAGCGATTGATTCTGAAGATAACTGTAATCTTGGCAAGATTTGGAACATAATTCCTGCCAAAAAGATCAGCGAGGAAAAAAAAAAGCTTGATCAATATCTTTCCCCAGAAAAAACACGGCATTTATAAGACATCACGAAAGGCCTTGAGAAAAATGTGTAACACTCACCTCATATGCAAGTTAGGATGAGTGCTTACAAGTGTGAGCACCATTGATTTCACGCAGCTATTCTGTTGAACTAAATGAGTGCATTGTGAAGGAGCACTTGGTTCACAGCTGCTTAAGACGGCACTGGACGGACCTGCCAATGAACAGGCAGATCACAGAACGAGTAGGACCCGAGTAGGAATATCTGAAGTTGCTTCGGTGAATAGTGTAGTTTCATGTTGACTGCTGAAGTGCCAGAAACCTCCTTGAACTAGCCCACACTGCTGCCATCCATGCTTGATCTAGAAAGCTATATGAACATTAGGAAAATTTTCACCTTGGCTGTCTATATTATTTGTAACTGAATTTCGAAGATTGGCAATGATGAAGCTCTTACTATTGTCACTAGCAACAGTTAGGAAAGCTTGCACTGCATAGTTCACCCAGCAGCATACAGCATCTGGTTTATCATAAAAAGAAATTGCACTCCTGTGACATGGAAAGCTTAACATGTAAAAACACAATTGAGGAGACAAGGCTATGTTATCTAACTTTCAGTAATGCTACCTTAGGTGTCTGAGAATGGCTATCTTAGAAAATATTCTTATTTATCTTTTCGATCAGTGGTCCCTGCACTGAAGAAAGAAGGGAACAGACTTGTGAAGGAAATTTCCATTGCATTTTCAAAAGGTCAAACAATGTGTAAGGAAATAGGTTTTATTATAACTTAATAATCAGGTTTTAAATTATTTGTGCACAGGAGAGTTCCAGTCAGTTCAAAATCTTACTTATTGGTAGCCCAATTAACAGAGTAATAGTTCATTATGTGCAAGTGCAAATCATGTCCAAGACCAGAGGCAGTCAAGTGTTTGGTGTGTATGCATGTGGTGTGCACATATGACATATATGCATCATCATTATAATCTTAAAAACCATGTATTTCATTTATTTCACTAAGATAACCAGATTTACTAAGGGAAAAATTACACACAATTACAAAATACTGAAGTGATGCATGCTAGTATTATCATGCACAGTTCAGAGCAGCTCAGCAACTCACTGAGCAGCGGTGTGAGCTGACTGATATCTGCATCATTTGAGATGGCCTGACATGAAAACATTTATAATTCGATTGTGTCTCAACATCTGGAAGTGGAATTGATCTAACATGATCTGAGAATATCGAACACTGCACATTCCTTCCAGTACCTTCCTCATTATATGCAGTGGCAAAAATATTAATAAAAGATGTAAGTTTACACCACTTCATCAAAGTAGACATTTCAGAGTAATCCATAAAAAAAGAAGCAAAGCAAAACTTAGTATACTCGAGTGAGTTACAAGACTCGTTTTTTCATATGAAGGCTCCACAAGCTGAACCTATAGAAAATGCACACCAGCTCCACAAGCTGCACTTTGAGGTGGTTTTATTTTACCAGGATAGCCAAATTTACTAATGGGAACAAATTACACACAATTACAAAATACTGAAGTGACGCATGCTATTATCATGGACAGTTCAGGGCAGCTCAGTAATTTACTAAGCAACAGCATGAGTTGACTGATATCTGCATCATTTGAGATGGCCTGACATGAAAACATTTATAATTCAATTGTGTCTCAACATTTTGAACTGATTTGGCATGTTTTCAGAATCCGAAACACTGCACAATTCTGCCAGCCTCATTACATCTTGTGGCAAAAATATCAATAAAGATTTAAGTGTTCACTACTTCATCAAAGTAAACATTTCAGAGTAATTCATAACAAAAAAAAGAAGGAACTAAAGAAATTTAGTATACTCGAAGGACTTACCAAATTCGTTTTTTTCATATAAAGGCCCCATGAGCTCAACAAGCTGAACTTTGAGGTGTTCTTAGTTTACTACAGATCATCCATATACAAGGCTGTAGGCAAGAGTCCAGAACATTAGGTCTGTTGACACCATGCTTAGGAAAAAATATGCAACATGTAGTTGAAAACTTAATACTTGAGGACTTAGCAGACAAAGGTGCGTTTACTTAACAATAATCTTTTTTGGCTGTTGCAGTAGCAGAATATTGCCATCATTACCACAACTTTTGCCTACATATATGTTCCATGGCCACATTGGGGTTCAACCTTCAAAGGATATGCTCTACAAAACTGATGTAAATAATAACTTATGTAGCAACCAAGCACTTAGTTATATCACAAGATAACCGTATTTGCACATGTGCAGTTGAGCAACATAGATGTTACTTTCTGATCTTTAGTTGGCTGATCAGGACTATACAATGCATTCCTAGTTAGAATCTGCTACCAGGACATAGTGCATATTTATCCTTGTTATTGTTGCTGTAGATTTATAGAAGTATGAAACAATGATTTTCTTTAAAACGGATGGAAACATTCGGTTTTTCCATAAGAAAAACTCAGTTCAACATCTTCTTTTGCTACATCATTTCTAAAGCCTCAAACATGGGCAGTTGGGCACACAACAATCTTAATTCTGAATAGCCCCAAAATAGCACAAACAATTCCAGCCTCACTATTTTTTCCCCATGGGTAACATTAAAAACTAGCAAATATAGTATAATTACCTTTGGCAAAAGGATTTTCTAACAACAGGAATACACACTAGGGTGCAACATTGTGTTTCAGAAAGATCCAACAAAGATTATATGATGTACAGCTCAAAGACTTGATGAACCTTGTGAACTGCAGATTAAAATAAGCAGGGTTTGTTTCAAGGAGCATTTGTAGAACATAAACACATAATATCTGTAAAAATGGCTTAACGCTCACGTGGTTAGGAAAGAACAAAGAGCAATTACCTTGCACTACTATAATCTGTTCTCAGAGGTGTTCTATTATATATATTAGTTAGGAGGATCCAATGGAGATGATCTACAAAAGGTAGTGGCAGTATGATAGTATTTGAGGTTAGCACCATTCACTTGTTAGTTGTTGCGTAGTCAGAATAGGAATCCTACAGATACTGAGAAAGTGAGAATACATACGAACATGAAGTTCATCAAACCAATAGTTACGCTTACTTGGAATACAACAAAGCAAACAGTAAATTATTGTTATGGTACAATAAATCAGCTCAATATTGCGCAACAAAGTTAGGACATCAGAGTTCAGAAGTAATAAGTACTCTCGTAGTTAAAAAAACATAAGGATGCAAAAGGCAAGTAGTCAAACAAAGTTCTGCAATCTAAGAAGTACTATTCTTGTAAACTGGCAAAACAAATAAATAAATCGAGAATAAACAAATAAACTAACAAGTACTTATTTCTGTAGCAGTGCCCCCAAGACAACTTGAAATTAGATGGAGCATATTTTGCAAGCTGTGAGGCATTCTAAAACAGCTAAACTCACACTTCAGTATTCTGTGAGTGAGAAAATTCTCTCTATTGATAGTTTTCTCAACTATAATACAGATGTTTCGAACTATATGATGATTATAAACAAAAGGCATCCAAATAACAAAAGCAACAGGCAGTAGATTAATAAAAGGTGGATCAAACTGTAAATATTCTATGGGACTAAAGGGTATTTGGAATATAGGATACTAACCATTTTTATGTACAGGGTGAGGATGTTAGACACATCCTGAAATTTTAATGCTTGACAGCTCAGGATCATGCATAGATATAATGAGAATCCAGAGGTTAGAAGAATGTACAATTTGAACAAGCGGCCTGCATAGTAGGTGAAAACAAGAGGGTTATTTGGAAGGAAACCATGAAATTGTACTCAAATAACGATAGGAGAATGACTGACTTTTATGGGTTTAACGAAAGCAAGGGAAATTGGTGGGTAGGAAGTACTTCCACCTTTGTGTTACCTTGGCTTAGTCAGGCGTAGACAACCGGAATAATTCCAATCAATTTGCGGCACTGCCTTCTTAGCTTCTTGTTTTGGCTATCCCGCACATTCAATTCTTGCAGTGAAGTTGGAAGGTCATTCACCTTGGGCAGTGATCGAATGGCTGGGCATCCTTTGATCACTATTTTTTGCAGTGAACTTGGGACACAATCCTTGGGTAGAGACTTGATGGATGGACAGTTGCTTATCATCAACTCTTGTAGTGAACTTGGGAGAAAGTCCTTGGGCAGAGACCGTATGGCTGGACAGTTGTCTATCACGAACTCTTGCAGTGAACTTGGGAGGCCATCCTTGGGCAGCGACTGGATGGCTGCACAATCCCAGATGTTTAATCTCTTGAGGTTGGGTAGTCCCTGAAGCCCTGCAGGGAGGCACTGCAGCTGATCACAGAACCAAAATCTGATCTCCTTGAGAGAGGTGAGATGTAGAAGGGCCTCCTCTTGCTCCTTTTCGAAGCGCTCCACCTCTTTGTCCCCCGAAAAATATAATCTGGTGAGCGAGGAAGAGAGCAAGGTACAGATGGGCACAGCAAGGACTCCCGCGACGTCATCTGTCCAAATCTCCTGCAGTTTGGAGGAAGAGGATGGAAACTCTTGTTCATGCGGCAGCAGTGGACGCTCGAAACCAGCAAAGAAGTTGGGGGTTTTGCGGACGGTTAATCTGATGAGACCTTGGGTGAGGAGAGGCCACAGTCCCTCGCCTCTTAAATCCCCACTTTCCTTTATGGATAAATCTGTGAGAGTGGTGAGGTTTGAGAGAGGCAACAGCGTCGCCGTGCCCACTGCGCCTTGAAGGGAGACTTCTTCCAGGGAGGTTGGGAACGGGAAACACGAAGAAGAGGAGGAGAGGAACCTGGGGCAATTCTGTATCTTCAATGATCGGAGGGAACTCAGACCTTGGAGCCCTCCTCCTCCTCCACCTCCACCGGTTCCTGGTCCTGCGTCGAGTGAAACGGGACAGAGCACCAGATTTGGGCAGTTGGAGATGCTCAAACTCTCTAGTTGCGGAGGCAGCAGTAGTAGCCCTTGTGGTGGTGCCTCCTAGTATTTCCTCCTCTGCTCCTGCATCGTGCTGATGCTGCTGCTGGTGCATTCCAATTTGGGTGTCCTCCAGTTCTCCGATTGAATCTGACGGCGGTTGTGCGGGTGCTTCCGTCTCCTTCTGCTGCTCCACAACACCTATCCCTGTTAACTTTTCACACTCCCCCATGTTGAGACTGTGGAGCCATGGCACACAAGACAACAGATGCGTCAATTGCTCCCCACTAGCACCACACTGCTGAATGGTGAGATGGTGGATTCGGAAGATTTCATATCTGATACCACCATCAGCTTCGGCCAACCAAAATGCATTGCTCGGAATCATGTACCTTGAGGGTCTGAAGAGAAGATAGCATCAGGAGGTGATCCATTCACAGAGGAGGGCATCTATTCAACTCTAACACTTGTACTTCAGTCAGATTATCAAACGCCAACACCATCCAGAAGGCTGTATCTGAAGTATCTTTTCCCTTGATTTCCAAGCAACATTCAGAACCGTGTTTTCTATAAAGCAGCTGCTCAAAACTTGAATCTACCTGTCAATCTTAGCGGAGCATACAGAACGAGTCCAAGGAATACGAGGCAGTGATGAAAGTTTTGGACAATCCACAATCTCAAGCTCTTGTAGTCTAGGAAACCAAGTCATGTGGTCACATTCAGTAAGATGTGGGAATGGCAACTCAATAAGTTGTTGGCAACCCTTAATGATGAGTACTTCCAAGTGAAAGGACAATTCAGGAGGGTAATTTGCAACCCATCTTTTAAATTTTGGTATCTTAACTAGTTCTAACCTTCTCAGATATTTGAAGCTGTGTCCTTGTGCATAGCTCTTGCACTCTTCACCGTTTTCATCAACCAAACACAACTCTCCTAGAGGTGGAAGGTTTTCCCAAGACACGTCATGTAGCTGAAGAAGTTCCAAATGTCTATTAGAGATATTTGCACCCAACCATGAAGGGCAATCAGTGCCTCCATGCCCACTAATGCATAGCTCACGAAGATTGCTACTTGGCAGAAGGCCTTCAAGAACTTGGTCTTCTTTAGTAGAATCCCTGTTAGATCGATTACTATCCCAATCCATTATTAACTTGCGCAAGTATTTTGTCTGACTTTTTGCCTCACCAGCTTCTTCCTTTTCTTCAACCCTTTCAAGATTACTAATCTGCAATGATCCGCCAAGCTCTACCAGTTCTCCTAACTGTGCTAATTCAAAACCATACCTTTCATTCTTGACCACAAATCTTTTCAACTCTTGTAATGATTTTAATTTTCCTACCTCAAAAATGCCAGGGTGCATTGCATCATCTGGAACAAGAATGTTGGAACATCTACAATGATAGGTAAGTGGCGAACAGATGGAGGAATTTTGGTGGACATAATGTTGGAACTATATATTCTGATACATTCCTTTGATTGAACCTTCATTGCCAACTCGTGTATGAGGTCATGGACAACATAATAAGAATAGCCATAATCATTTTTATACTCATTCGAAAATCCATGATCAACCAAGTCAATCTAATAGGATTGCCCATATCCTCAGCTCGTTTGTTTTCATCATGAGAATTTAAAATATCTAGTCCCATCCACAAATAAATTAACTCCTCACGGACAAATTGATAATCTTCAGGAAACATAGCAAGGTAGGAAAAACATTGTTGCAGGTGGAAAGCAAGATAATCATAGGAAAGCTTTAGCGCTGGCATAATGTCATGGTCGCCAGAAGTTTGTTCCCATTCTCTGCTTTCTAGCACACTTACCCAATGGTCCAGAGTAGGTTGGTTTCCTAGTAATCTACCTACGGTTTTTGCTGCGAGAGGAAAACCCTTCAATTTTTTCATTATGTCATACCCAACATCACGTAATTCGGGATGATCATCAAACGACCTTCTGCTACAAGGACCGAACACACATGCTTCCAACAACAACAATAACAACAACAGCAAAGCTTTTAAATCCCAAATAAATTAGGATATACTAGAGTTGAAACCCAGCAGAAGCAATCAAGGTTCAGACACGTGAATAGCTGTTTTCCAAGCACTCCTATTTAAGGCTAAGTCTTTGAATATATTCCATCCTTTCAAGTCTTCTTTTATTGCCTGTACCCAAGTCAACTTCGGTCTTCCTCTGCCTCTTTGCACGTTACTATCCTGGCTTATGATTCCACTACGCACCGGTGCCTCTAGAGGTCTCCGTTGGACATGTCCAAACCATCTCAACCGGTGTTGGACAAACTTTTTTTCAATTGGTGCTACCTTTAATCTATCACGTATATTATCGTTCCGAACTCGATCCCTTCTTGTATGACCGTAAATCTAACGCAACATACGTATTTTCGCGACACTTATCTGTTGAACACACATGCTTCGAAGAAATCCATAAAATCTTTTGGATCTAAACATTCCAAATGAATTGGAAAGCCAACTGTCATGGCCATATTTGCCACACTTGGAATTCAATCATATTACCTATCCCCACAACTTTTCTAAATGGTGCTAATAGTTTTAGCCACTCGTCCTCCTTACATGTCCACACATCATCCAAACACTAGCAACAACCGTTTGGCTTTTAATCGTTGTGCGATCACCTCTTGGTCACTAGCAGTTTCTCTTTCACCATTAACTCTAGGGATTTTTTTCACAATTTCTTCTGCCAACCTATCTGCATTGAAATTGACGGAGACACATATCCAAATTGAAACATGGAAATGGCTCTTCACTTCTCCGTATATGTGTTTTATCAAAGTTGTCTTTCCAATACCCCCGGCGCGACAACTGGAAGCACTGTAAGTTGATTTGTAGAATATTCACCACGGATAATGTTATCAAAAACAGTAATGCTCCTACTCAAACGTCCGATGTTTCGGATGCGCGTCAGAGAACGATTCGACCGGCGCCTCGTCTTATCCTCCTGCTCGACGCCCTCCCCAACCCCATCCCGTGTATGTGCGCTTCACTTCTCTCGCTCTTCTCGTCCTCTTCTCCTCCTGGTTCCTCCACTCTCTCGCTCTACTCGCGCGCCACCGCCCCTCCCTCCCTCCGCGACCTCCGTGCCGCGACGGCGGCGGCTTCCAGCGAGCCGCCCCTCCCTACCTACCTACCTCCCTCCCTCGCTCCGCGACCTCCATGCAACCGGAGAGGAGGGCGACGGCTTCCGGCGAGGTAGGTGGGTCCTACTCTAGATCTGAGCCCTCCTCCTCCTCTCTCCTTCCTCCTCATCTGGATTTGAGCTCTCCTCCTCCTCCTCCTCCTCCTCCTCCTCCTCTAGATCTGGATCTGAGGGACGCGACGGTGGCTAGGGTTCCGGCGAGCTCTGTTGCAGTAGGCTTGCTTTGCTGTTGCAACAAGCAATATTTCTTTGTTGTATTAGTTTTTTTTCTGATGTTGCATCTCGCATTAAGCCTTTTGTTTCTGTTGCTGCAATAGCGTCGTTTGCTGTTGCAACAAGCAATATTTCTTTGTTGCATTAGTCTTTTTTTTTCTGATGTTGCATCTCACATTGCGTTTTTGTTTCTGCTGTTGCAGTAGTGTTGTTTCGCTGTTGCAACAAGTTTTTTTCTTTGTTGCATTGGTCTTTTTTTTCCTGATGTTGCATCTCGCACTGCGCTTTTGTTTTCTATTGTTGCAGTAGCTTTGGTTTGCTATTGCAACAAGTAATTTTTCTTTGTTGCATTAGTCTTTTTTCTGATGTTGCATCTCACATTGCGCTTTTGTTTCTGTTGTTGCAGCAGCTTGGTTTGCTGTTGCAACAAGTAATTTTTCTTTGTTGCATTAGTATTTTTTTTGATGTTGCATCTCGTATTGCAGTAGCTTTGTTGTGTTGTTGCAGTCGCTCTTGTTCTGATGTTGCAGTAGACTTGTTCTGATGTTTCACCTCGCATTGCACTTTGTTTGATGTTGCAAACATTTTTTTGATGGGAGTGCGTTGGGGGCGGGCGAGGTTGGGGGCGAATGGGGAACCCGTTCTGTTCGATCCGTTCCGTGTGTGGGGGGCAGGCGAGGTTGGGGGAGGGCGGGTTCCGTGCGCGTTGGGGGCGGGCGGGTTCCATGTGCGGGGAGCGGAGGAAGGGCGGTTCCTATCTCTGTTCTGTTCCGGGCGGGCGGGCGGGTGTGATCCGTGTGGGAGGGCAAGGCGCGGTACGAAGGGCCCGTCGTCCTTGCGTCCACGGCACCGTCCGATGGATCGGTATCCATCGGACGTCCGGGCGCCAGCGCTGCCCTATCAAAAATACTTATTCTCTCGTCATTCCTCCCAAATATTTTTTGCTCTATGGTTTCAGCGTTGACAACTGGCCGATTCCTAGCATTCCAATGGGTAATCTGTTTGGCAGAAGCCAAAAGTTCTGTATCAAGAATAGTGGTGAGCTTAGCACATAGGGGCTTGAGCTTATCTACAATGTTTCTCATTTTTGTAGACATGTCCACCCTATCAAACTTCAATTTTTGTGTTTGCACATCATGTTTTCTCTGTTGTGCCCTGGATGGCCAGGCACATGAGAAAAATCGCCGCCCATTTGCTGGCGTATTGGGATCCTCCAACACGCGGGGTACGGTGACGGGGATCATCAGCAGCAGACGGGAAAGAGCAGCATGTGAGGCTTTTACCGATGGCATTGGCAGTGGAGCGGGCATGGAGTAAGAGGCCTCCGCCATCATCATCCACGTTGGTGGCGTGTTGGGTGCCGTCAAGATCATCCTGGATGCGGTAGTACTCCAGCTCGTCGAGCACGTCGTCGGCGTCGTACGCCACCTGACGCAGCTTCACCAGCAACTCCGTGAGCTGCGGGCTGCGGGTCTGCTTAACATGCGGGTTATCGAGAATCCACTGCGCGTGCAACAGCTCCATCTCGAGAGCGTCAAAGTTGTCGCCAATCCCTTATGCTGGCCGCCCACGTCTCTGCCAAAGTGTCCTTGGCGGAGGCCAGCGCCTTGCCCAAGGCCCAACTCGTGGCACCGATGACGAATTCCATCCTTATATGTTTTGATGGGCGCTGCAGTCTGCAGGTGGTGGAATTCATGCGCAAATTAAATGCAAATGAATCAGTCACTGCAAGTGCAAAGTGCAAACACTGATACTTGATTTGGAAAGAAAAAACAGTGTGATATATATAGAAGAATCCTGATATCGTTGCTCGCACAGGAAGATCTAGAAGGCTTACGTGATCAATCAGCAATCGTTCGTTGTAGTCATGTTGACGCTGTTGTTGCAACATGGTAGAGGAGGATCTTGGATCTTGAGGTTGCAGACAGGCGTACTCACCCAGTGCAAGGGAAGGGAAACGAGCAGAACTTGATCGGCGATGTCACTGGCTGCTGCCTCAACGCTGGCGCCTACCCAAAGCAACCCATGGCACTGCCAAACAGTGGACCTGGGCGGGCAGGGCGAGAGCAGGAGCGAGCGCTGGGGCGGCGGTGGAGAACTCTGAGATCTGGTGGGGTGGAGTCGAGGTGAAGCGGCGGAGGAGCTGAGCAGACTCTTCGGCCAGCAGGCAAGCAAAGCAATGGTGGACTGCCAGGATTCCAGGACTGGGTAGTGGGGGTAGTCAGGGGTGAATGGAATTGCATCGCATCGCATCCACAATTCCACATTCCACTGCACTGCAGACGGGTCCATCATCCATGTGCTCCTAGTACATGGACCATGGACGACGCGGCAGACCTGTCAATCAATGGTGGTGGTCCGCATGCAGGCCCCAGTCGACTTGAACCAATCGTGCTCCCGTGCCTGTGGCCGTGCCGCCGTGGCCTGTGTGATGCACAGTTGCAGACGGCACGGCAGGCGGCAGCATGTGCACCTCGTCAGGTCTCCGTCGCTCCGTGATCATCAGAACTCGCTCTTGGTAATGGCATGGCATGTGCGGTGATCAAAGACTGAGACTGACTGCCGCTGATTTGTCGTAGGGAGAGAAAACACTGTACGCTGATAAGCCAGCCTGATAACTTCAGGTGAACAGGACCAAAGTAGGGAATCTCGAAAAAAATGAGAGTGACACTCTTCGTGTGAGTAGTACGGAGTGCGTTCGCATCGCAAGTCAGCATCAGCACGCGACGGTGTGCGACTGTAGAGTGTTGGAGCGGCTTCGTGCTCTGGAATCGAACCATTTCACTGCTCCGTTGATGTGTTGCGGTTGATCCGGCCGGGGCGTCCGTCCAAGACTATACGCAACCATTCCAGAAGAACAATGTTTCTTTATCTTTCGCTCACAGAAAAATTACGAGAACGGAGATGGAGTTTTTACGACTCAACCAGAACCAGTAGCTGCGTGCCTGCGTCCCTGAAATCAGCTGAGCGCTGGTAGCTGGCCGCGCTGGAGCATGAGTGGATTTCTTCTCTTGCATTTGTTGCGGTGCTGTACGCAAGGAATCTTTGTGTTGATCGGAGACAGCAGTGCCAGTGCTTTGCTGAAGGGCTTCGCGTGTCACGGGCATCGGGCATGCATGGGAACGCGTGGACACCAATCGACGGAGTCCAGTGCTAAAGCCGCCCTTGTGTTTTCTCCAGCAAAGCGACTGTGCGCAAAGCTGCGAGTATCGGAGTGCCTTCGTGCTCCCATCCGTTTCCACTACTCTCTTGACGCGTTTCATTCCTCTAGTCTGGTCAGCTGACTGTGTTCCACGACTCTGTTAATGTTTTTACTGAAATCCAGTAGTGAAAATGGTGGACTTTTGGAGTCAACTGCGCTCAGTACATGCATGCCAATGCTGTGCTGGACTGTGTGTGAGCATGTGCCATCTGAATCTCTCTCTGCTCGGCGTACGCTGATGCTTGCAGAAGATGGTACCGCCGATCGATTAACGGTGCCAGCAGGCGGCAGAGCCCAGTCGACTTGAATAAATCGTGCCGGCGCACGGCGGCACGGGGCATGTGCTCGTCGTCAGGGTCTCGGTGACTAGACCAGAGGCCAAGCCACTGAAATCTGGGCGTCGATCGCTTGCCGCACTGCAGCTTGTGCCCTCTCGGCATGTCCGTGATCAAAGACGACTTGTGTGTGTCACGAGTATACGTCATCTTCGTTTGAGCTAGTTTGACTTATAAGTCATGGCTGAAAGTATCGTTGGCTGGTTTGGTGTGAAAGAAAAATACTGTTTATTGGCTGATAAGTCATGACTTATAAGCCAAATACAACCAAACGAACATGTGAAGTTGGGCAAAGCATCGGTCACTAGATTATTAGTATATACTAATGTGTTTCGGTACTGGTCCTACCGGAGAGCAGGGCCGAGGCTTGCCCAACTGACTGATCGATGGCTGTTGCTTGTTACTGGAACCATGATGAGCGTTTCTTCAGTGCATGATTACGTGCCAAATTGCCAGTATTCAAGTATCAGTACCTTGATCCGTCGTGGTTTCCTTACGTACTCCACAGCTCAACTCTGGCCTGGTTTAGATTGCCTCAAAATTCCAAGTTTTTTCACTCTCTCTTCATCACATCAATTTTTGGACGTATGTATGGAGCATTAAATGTAGGTAAAAAAATAACTAATTATACAGTTTGGTTGTAAATCACAAGACGAATCTTTTGAGCCTAGTTAGTCCATAATCGGATAAAGTTTGTCAAATACAAATAAAACGTGATACAGTGTCCAGATTTTAAAAATTTGCAATCTAAACGAGGCCTCCGCCGTATCTACTTTTGATTTTGGAGCAAAAAAAATGCAGAGGACGCCGTCGTTGTTGGCTTGTTGCCTTGTTTGAGAGCCGAGACAGGCCCCTTCCGCGTGTGGGTGAAGACTACCTGGTGTAGACTAGTCTGTAGTCTAGTACAGGTGGGACTGTCAGCCATGTAGCCGAGACAGGCCCCAACATTTTGGGCGCGTTTGCGACCTGGATCCAGAGGCCCGGCTGCGCCCGTGGGCTGCAAGTTGCCATGTTTGTGGTCGATGGCCCGCAAGTGAGCCTGGCTTCCCAGAGCAAAAATCGACCTCTCCGCCTGGCTCTCTGGAAACGACTGAAACCCTCGTTTCTTTGGAGCCGAGCTCGTCTGCGACGCACGCGGGCGATTTTGGGCGGCGGCGGGGTGGCTCGCGCGGGCTCTGGCGGGAAGGGGAAACGTCTTCGCGCGCGTCCCCGCTCTCCGCTCCCGCTCTGGCCGCCGCGCGCGAAGCGAAATGGCGGCGATTTCGCCGGCCTTTATATACGGGTTTCCACTCTCCACTCTCTCCTTCTTCCACTCGGTGCTTGCTCTTCCACCTCCCTCGTGAGAGACCGGCGGTGAGTTGTGGTGCGTGGCGGCGGCGGCGACCTCCGGCTGGTTGTGGGTTAGGTCACCGGCGCCGAGGTTCTTCGTCGCGTCCCCACTCCGGCTGCTGCTGGGACTCCGTGGCAGCGGTGTTCCTCTTCTTCTCCGTCCGCATCTGCTTCGTCTTCTTCCCGATCTGCATCCCCTACTTCTAGATCTGCCTCCTCTCCGTTGTTTGGACCCCGAGCCAAGGTGAAATCGACCCCCAATCTTCTTTTTTGTGGTGCTTCTTGAAGTTCTTAGGGTTTCTTGTTCGTTGTTGTTCATGATATGTTAGGGTTTCATACTTGTTATAACTGTTTCATGCTCCTATTAGGGTTACTTGTACCTTACTGTTCTTGATCTGTTGGGATCGTGATCTATTAGGGTTGTTGATCTGTTTCAGATTAGTATTGTACCTTGCTGTTCATAACTGTTTGATGCAGTTGTTAGTGTTACTTGTACCTTGCTGTTCTTGATGTGTTAGGGATGTTGATCTGTTTCTGATTACTATTGCTCTGAGTTTTTTGTTCCATCATTGGTCGATGATGTTGTCCAAATTTAGTACTGGGAGGCATCACATACAAGATGCAGCCGTGCTTTTGTTGGCATGCATTTATTTCACATTCATGTTGATGCCTAGCAGGGTACATTAAGCTGAAATCATGTTACATTTTTACATGCCTGTAGATGGATCTGTCTTTGAGCCGTGACATGCTGTGTAGGAAGGCAGCTGCCTTGACTGTTGTTATGGTTACCTTTGTATCCACTAGGCTGAAAAGGAAAACCCTTGAACCTGAAACCCCACTGCCTGATCCTATAGCACTGGCCCTGATTAGGGATGAAAATGAACAGCACAGACAGAGAACACTGAGAATGATATACAATTCCACTGATTCAGAGTGTATTTCTATGATTAGGATGAAGAGAGTTGCTTTTTTTAAGTTAGTGAAAACTTTTAGAGAGAGGAGTCTTGTCACTGATAGGGAGGGGATGTCAGTAGAAGAGCAGGTTGCCATGTTTTTACATGTTGTTGGGCACAACCAAAGATTTAGGGTTGTCCACCAGTTCTTTAGGAGGTCCATCCAAACTGTCCACAAGCACTTCCATCGGGTGTTGTATGCTGTGGATGAGCTTAGGAATGAAATGATAAAACCATCTAGCACTACCACTCACCCAAAGATTCTTGGAAGTCATACATGGAATCCATATTTTAAGGTAATTGTATACCCTGGGTTCATTAGTTACATTAGACCTGTTGCAATGACTGACCCATGCTTTTTAGGATGTCATTGGCTTTATAGATGGGACTCATTTCCTAGCAAGGGTTCCTAGGCGCATGCAACAAGCTTTTAGGGGTAGGAAAAAGGATCCCACCCAAAATGTGATGGTAGCTGTGAATTGTGATCTGAAATTCACTTATGTCCTGGCTGGCTGGGAGGGCTCTGCCCACGATGCAACTGTTTTGGCAGATGCTGTAGCTAGGGAAGATGGCTTGAGTTTGCCAGAAGGTAATTGCACACCAACACTAATTACATATTCCATGGCCTATTAACACACACTCTCACAGTGGATGTCTTGTGTAGGTAAAATGTTCTTGGTAGATGCTGGGTATGCATGCAAAAATGGTTTCCTACCTCCCTATAGGGGGGTTAGGTACCATTTGTCTGAGTATGGCCCAAGGAACAGGCCCACCAATGCAAGGGAGCTCTACAACCTTAGGCACTCATCACTTAGAGTGACTGTGGAGAGGGCTATAGGTGCACTGAAGGGCAGGTTTAGGATCTTGGACAACAAACCCTTCCACAAGTATAGGACACAAGTGAAGCTTGTAGTTGCCTGTGCCATTTTGCATAACTGGATCCTAGGTTTTGACATTGATGAAGTAGTGCCTGATGAGAAAGGTTTCACTACTTCTGCTGATCCAACCAACCTGCCCCTAGCCCATCTGGACCAAGACTCTGTTGACATGGCTGAAATAAGGGATGTTATTTGCAATGCTATGTGGGAAGGGAGGGGAACAAACACTAGTTGATGTAATATGTTCTTGAATTTAGTTTCTGTACCCTGCTATGGAACTCATGTGTGTGTCATGGTGATGTAATAATTTAGTGGACAAAGCTGAGACCAATTTTATGCTTCATTCATTCTGTTCTTGAATCATTCTATTCTTCATGATCTATCAGTCTGTTGTTTATTCATACACCTGTTAATATTATTGTTAGTCTGTTCTTGACTAATTCTGTTGTTGATTTCATTACATGCCAGTCCTAGGATGGATTCAGGTGCATTTGAGGGTGGGTTTGTTGCTGGTACTTCAGTGATGGAGCAGCTTATCAATGGTGGTTCTGCCCCTGTTGTAGCTGGTGCTGGTGCTAGTGCTGCTGCCCCTGTTGCAGCTGGTGCTGGTGCTGCTCTAGGTGCAGCAAACCCTGTTGATGTTGCTGCTCCTGTAGCTGGGAATAGGGCTGTGAGGGCAATGAGGTGGACCAACACCACCTCTGGCTTTGTGCTAAGGAGGATGGCTGCCCTTGTTAGTGATGGTAGCAGGCCTGACAAGGTTTTCAAGGACAAAGATGTGAATTCTGTGGCCAAAGCCCTCAAGCTGTTCTGTGGGGAGGTTGTTAGCCCAACTCAAGTGTACAACCACTTGAGGAAGTGGAGGCAGAAATGGGCTAGGTTGAGCAAGTTGAAGGACCTTAGTGGTGCTCTTTGGGATGACCAGGCTCATGCTATCATGCTTGAGCAAGAGCACTACCTTGGCCACTGCAAGGTAGCAGTTTGATCTCGTCTTTGCCTTGACTACCTACATTTGCCTTTCTTAAACTACATTTGCCCAACTCTGTAGGACCATCCTAAAGATGCAGAGTTTCTTAACTGTCCTATTAGGTTCTACACTGAGATGGAGGCTATCTTTGCTAATGCCATGGCCACAGGCAAGTTTGCACTTGGGTCTGGTGAAGCCTTAGGGCAGAACTAGGCTGACAGTGTTGATGCCAAGACTGATGGTCCTCCTTTGACCCACACCACAGTTCCTAGTGAATAGGGAGGGGATAGCAAGGCCACTGAACTGCTTCCTACCTCCTCAGCTGCTGGCCCAAAGAGGAAGAGAGGGAACTTCTCTGAGGAGGAGATGCTCATGTTGACTAACATGTCAGATGCTGTGAATAATGTGGCCAATGCTCTTAGGGAGATTGGACCTACCCATGTTGATGCCAATCTATACCTTGCTGTGATAGAGATGCCTGGCTTCAGTGAGGAGGCACTTATTGTTGCCTACACCTTCCTCCTGGACAACAAGGCCCAAGGCAGGGGCTTTGTGAACATGAGTGATGCCCACAGGGCCTTTTGGCTTAGGACCTTCCTAGCCAAAAACTACTATGTGTAGTTCCACTACACATGAAGGGCTAGAATGTCAGGAGGGGGTTGACTGTAGAGATGTATAGTTCCTCCACCCCCCGTCACCCACTCTCTCTTCTTTTGACAACATGACCTTTTGTGCAGTCTGCTTGTTCTTTTGACACCTGACCTTGATGGTGTAGTTTGCCTAGGAGGGTGGCTAACAATAGGCAAGGATTTGGGAACATTTGAGCCCTTGGCTGTTGGACTGAACTTGGTATTGTAAGAAACTTATTTGTAGCCTCTGTTGGCTACTTTTTATTTGATAACTAGTTGCCTATTTGTGTTGTTTATGCCTCTGGTGGTAACTGTGGGATTTAAAGGCCTATGATGCATAAAACAAACTTGAGGTGGCTACCTTATTCTTGTTTTGATGGTTTTGTTGTTGTGCTTTCTTCTTTATTTGCCTATCCTTCCATTCTACACTTATGCTCAGTTGTACTTCACAGCAACAACATCCTCTTGTGATGGCTGATGGCAGTGAGTGTAACTGATCAAAAGGTCTGTATGGCAGTGAGTGCAACTGTTGTTTATTTGCCTCTTTATTTGGTTCTTACAATTCTTGGTAGCCACCAATGACTAAAGAAGGAAAAAAACCACCAAACTACTAAGCTGAGGCTAATTTTTTTATCAAGTAGCCGATGATGTTCACCATCATTGAAACTGAATGGTCGACTGAGGCATGTCATTCAGGCCACTTAAATGTTCTACATTTGGTTGGTTTCAGAGAATGCCTCCCTGCTATGTGGTATTTGAAGGGAAGAAACCTGGGATTTATTTTACATGGTATGAGTGTGCTAAGCAAGTGCTTAGGGAAGAAGGGGCTATCTATCAGAAGTACAACAACTATGATAATGCTCTTAGAGATTTTAATGCAAGGGTACCTCAAGAACCCTTGCTGTTACCAATTCATGTCCCTCATGGGGATGCATCAGCATCCTATGAACTGGTGACAGCTCAAGGTTCTGAAATCTATCCTCATTCACCTGGGCTGCAAGGCTGTTGCAAAAATGCTGTCATCTTGATCTTGTTTATGGTTGTAGTTGGTCTGTCACTCAAGCTGTTCATGAGCCACATCTGTTGTTTTTATTAGGCTGATGATGACATAATAGGATGACTGCATTAGCTGGCTACATGCTTTCTGTTAACTTGTTGCCCTTGTCGGCTTGCCAAACTGTTAAATGTTGTATTTTGGCCAATGATGACATAATGGATCGATGTATTAGCTGGCTACATATCATTTTGCTGCCTCTTATCTGTTTCTGTGAACTTTTTCGTTTGTTGGCTTCAAAACTTGACTAGCGGATGCTGCTGTTCTTCTTTATTGACTTTGATTATCCCATGTAGCCAGTAATGCCATGAATTGTTAAACTAGCATTTCTGAGGCCAACTATTGCATGCTGAAACTTTGATTTATTGTTGTAACGGTTATGGAAGAGCAACCTCATTCTTCTTTCATTCATGTCCATTTCTGTTTGTTGTTATGGGCCTGGCCGACCACAGCCAAATGACAAACACTATCTCGGTGTGGCAGTTGGTGGCGGTTAGCCTCTTAGCCCGGCTGCTTCTTCGATGACAAATACAGCCTCGCCTGAGCCGGGCTCACTGGGTACACAGGCGCAAACAAGAGCAGTTGCACCACTTGGGGTAGGCCTGCCCAGGCCTAGGCCAGTTGGGCTGCCCAGGCCGGCCAGCTACAGGGTCGCAAACACGCCCTTTGATTCTACGAAGGGCCTGTTTGGTTACTGCAGCACTGTCACATCGAATGTTTGGATATATACATGGAGTATTAAATATGGACTAATTATGAAACTAATTGCACAACTTGTGACTAATTTGTGAGATGAATCTTTTAAGCATAATTAGTCCATAATTTGACAACGTGATGCTACAGTAAACATGTGCTAATGACGAATTAATTAGGCTTAAAAAAATCGTCTCGCAAATTAGCCTCCGTCTATGTAATTGGTTTTATAATTAATCTATATTTAATGCTCCTTATTAGTATCTGAACATTCGATGTGACGTGAATGTTAGAAATGACTAAAGAACCAAACACCCCCTTATTCAGATCTGCTTCCTTCACTTCGGCAAAGTGAGTACACTAGAGAATGAATATATTTGGTAAACCACGGCGAGGACAAATGTTGATCAAAATGAATGAATAACGTACAATTTCCCAAAAGTATATTGTAAGAAAAAAAATACTAGTTCCTAGATACAATGGAAATGGTCATTTTCTGCATCCCTAGTTGTGCGTACGCAAGGAAAATTTCAGAAGATTCAGTTTATCGCAAACTACTATGTGTTGAGCACTTTACTTGCTCATAGAGCGTGCTCTACTCTTGACTCTCGAGCTTACTGACTCTTGGGGATGATCAGAACTAGTGTCACACTCTCAGCCCTGTTTAGATCTAACAGGAAGCATGATTTCTCTGGATGCTTAAACTTGCTTCGGTCAAGCAATTTTTGGCAAGAACCGGACAGGTACCTAGATATCCTACATGAGCAGTGGTGACATATATCTGCTGGAGATTGTGATCTTGGAAAAACATTTGGACATATAGTTCCTGCTAGCCAAAATGGAAAGAACTTGATCATTATTTCTCCAGGGAAAATAATCTTTACAAATATACTACACGCATTTGGAAAGGACCTGAGTAAAGCATACTCTCACCTCATATGCAAGTCAGGAACAATTTCTGCAGGCTCAAGCATGAAACTAGATGAACTAGACGAGTGCTATGTGAAGGAGCATTTCAATGACAACCTGAAGACTTTCCCATGCGCGCTGCAGACCAAAATAAACCATGTCCATGTCAAACTATAAAGGGGGCGTACCCAGTGCAGAGAGCTCCCGCTCTGTGCGGGGTCTAGGCAAGGGTGTTAGTGGCAAGCCTTACCCTCGCCTGTGCAATGCGAGAAGACCGCGACTCGAACCCGGGACCTTTCGGTTATAGGCGGTAAGACTCTACCGCTTGCACCAGGCTCGCCCTTCATGTCCATGTCAAACTATACTTGTGAAATTCAATGTGTAAAAAATACTTGATGTTCACGAGATTAGTATAAAACGAAGAGAAATTACCTTGGACTAGTATAATCTGATCTCAACATTGTTCTAGTATGTTAGATAAGAGGCTCCAATGGATCACTTCAAAAAAAGAGGCTCCAAAGGAGACGATCTAGAAAAGGACCCGACCCTATGGAAGCATTGAGTTAGCTACAGTCTGCATGAAACCACAATAATAACTGCAGACGCTGAGGAACACATACCAACATAAGGTTCATTATAGTCCATTAGTTATGCTAACTGTGAATTATAGCAAAGCAGGAGCTAAATCATCATGTTGGAATAATAAATCAGTACTGCATTGTGCAAAGAAAGAGAAATGAGAATATCAAAGTACAGAACAAGTAGTGCTGAACAGTAAACATCTTCACTCGATTTGAAAACCACATGAATGTTGTCACTATGCACAGAATAATATAAATTATGTATCTAGGTTATAGTATGAACAATGAAAGGGAAGCAGCACATATAACGAAAACGACAAGCAGAAAATAAAAAAAATGGATTAATCTTTAAATACTGTATCGGACCGCAATAGGTGAGATTTTGCCATATAACCTGTTTAATGTACATGGTGGAAGTTCCTTGGTTAACAACATAACTTGGACAGGTACAGTGAGAACCCATACGATGCTAGAAGAATGTAGAGTTTGAAACAGGAACCCTGCAGAGAAGGTCAAAACAGGTGGGTTACTGAGTTGGAACAGATATGGCAGTTAACTTGTTTTAGGGAAAAGCAAAGGAAATTGTAGGCTTGGAACTGGGAACTAATGCACAGTGGAAAGTGGTTGTTACCTTGGGATAATCAAGCTTTGCCTATTGGAATGGTTCCAATCAGCTTGCGGCACTGCCTTCTTAGCTTCTCACTTCCGCTATCCTCGACATCCAATTCTCGCAGTGAACTTGGAAGGTCATTCACCTTGGGCAGCGATCGAATGGTTGGGCAGCTCCTGACCTCTAATTTTTGCAGTGAACTTGGGAGGCAGTCCTTGGGCAGCGACTGGATGGCTGCACAACCCCAGACGTGTAATCTCTTGAGGTTGGGAAGTCCATGAAGCCCTGCAGGGAGGCACTGCAGCTTGTCGTAGGCCCAAAACGTGATCTCCTCGACAGAGGTGAGAAGCTGAAGGGCCTCCTCTTGCTCCTCTGTGAAGCGCTCCACCTCTTTGTCCCGAAGTCCCAATTCAGTGAGCGAGGAAGAGAGCAAGGTACAGATGGGCGCGACAAGGACGCCCGCGGCGTTATCCGTCCGAAGCTGCTGCAGTTTGGAGGAAGTGGATGGGAACTCTTGTTCATGGGGCAGCGGGGGCTCGAAACCAGCGAAGAAATTGGGGGTTTCTTGGATGGTTAAACTGGTGAGACGACCTTGAGCGAGGAGACGTCGCAGTCCGTCGCCTCTTAAGTCCCGACAATTCTACATGGTTAAATCTGTGAGAGAGGCGAGGTTTGAGAGAGGCAACAGCGTCGCCGTGCCCACCGCGCCACCAAGAGAGAGACGTTCCAAGGAGGTTGGGAAGGGGAAACACGAAGAAGAGGAGGATGACGAATAGGAAGAGAGGAACCTGGGGCAATTCTCTATCCACAAGCATCGGAGGGAGCGTAGACCTTGGAGCCCTTGTCCTCCACCAGTTCGTCCTGATTCTCTGCTGTGCTCGATTGAATTGGAGCGGAGGCTCAGCTCTGGGCAGCAGCTGATCTCCAACTGTTGTAGTTGGGAAGGCAAGAGCAGCAGCCCTTCTGCTGATGATGCGCCTATTTCCTCCTCTCCTCCTGTGCCATCCTGCTGCTGGTGGTGCTGCTCGATTTCCACATTGTCGTCCACTCTGTTTTCTGGAGATGTTGGCGTGGGTCTTTCTATTGCCTGCTTCTCCACTACAGCTAGCCCTGTAATCTTCTCACATGACCACATGTTCAGTTCAGAGAGCTTGGGGAAATAAGTCAGTAGCTGTGTCAATTCCTTCGCACTGGCATCCCACCCACTAACTGTTATGCATTCAACTGGAGATTGATATTCGGCATAGCTCTCATCTTCAACCGATGGGAAGACAATACCTGAACCACCATATAGCTTGAGGGTCTTTAGGGATGGTAGCATTTGGAAATGATGCAGTGGGAGAGGAGGGCATGTGCCCATCTTCAACTCTTCTAGTTCAGCTAGATTATCAAAGGCCAACACATTCCATAAATCACTAACCAGAGCATCATTCATCTTAATTTCCAAGCTATATTCTGATTTGTAACTCTCGTTATTACAAACAAGTTCCTCAAGGCCTGAATCAACTCCTTCTATCTCAGCTGAGCACAGAGCCCTAGTCCAAGGAACAGGAGGAAAGGACAACAGTTTTGGACAGTCTTCAATTTTGAGCTCCCGTAGTCTAGGAAACCAATTTATCTTTGCCTCTTTCTGTTGATGACAGCAAGTCAAATGGGAAAATGACAACTCCGTGAGTTCAGAGCAATGTGTGATGATGAGCACTTCCACGTGAGAGAATAAATTACAAGGGTCACTTTCAGCCCATTTCTTCAGTCTTGGCAGCTTATTGAATTCAAGCCTTCTCAAATTTCGAAACCTATTATGAGGTACGCGACCCAAATGCTCCTCACCATGCTCATTGACCATCCACATTTCTCCTATTGGTGGAAAATTTTCCTATGATACATTATCCAGATGAAGAGATTCCAGATTTTTAACAGAGAGGTTCTCACCTAGCCATTTTGGGCAATTAGTGCCTCCATGCCCCCTAATGCATATGTCTCGAAGATTGATATGTGGTTTCATAACCTCCAGAATATTTGCTTCATGTGCTGGATCCTTGTTAAGTCTATTGACATCCCATTCTAATGTTAGCTTGTGCAAACCATTTTTGTGTATTAGTTTTGCCTCACTAGCTTCCTTCACTGTTTGTGTCCTTTCCAGATTACAAATGGCAAGCGAACCTCCAAGTTCTGATAGTTGCTCTAGCTGACTTAGTTCAAAGCCCTTACTTTCTTTTCCAACTTCAAAGCCTCTTAGTTCCTGAAATAATTTTAGTTTCCCCACATCAACTATGTTACAGTGAAGCTGACGCCTGTATTGTGTCACAAAAAAGTGGTGCAATTTTGCAAGACTATTTATATCTCTTATGTTACCAGAGCAATATTCCCACTCCTGCAGATCTATGACTTCTAAATGATAAAGTCTAGACATAGAACTCAGCAAGCATGTGTCCTCCATGTACTTCGACTTGATCCTTACATCCTCCACAATATATGATGCTTCGGACAGATAAATAGAACGAAGGGCTTTGTCATTTCTAAATAAATGACCAAAAATCATGGAAAAGCTTCCATGGTGGCTCCCAAAAAGCATCAATGTACGTAGGTTTTCAGTATTCAGTCTTTTGTCCAGTTCTCTTAGTTCCTTTTTGAAGTTGTCAAAATTCTCTTTGTTCTCAACTTCTTTGTCATCTATGATGAAGGACAAGTGGCGAACTGAAGTTGGGATTTGTATGGACCTGACATTGGAACTAGGTATTGTAATGCATTCGTATGATGAAACTTTCACTGCTAAATCATGCAGTAAGTCATGTAGGACATAATAAGAAGTACCATTGTCTTTCTCATTCTTTATAAAAAATCCATTGTTAACCAAGTCAATCAGATAGCTCAGACCAACATCTCTAGTTCTCTTGTTCTGACTAGATGAGTGTAAAATATCTAGTCCCATCCACAAGTGAATTAGCTCATCACTACCAAATTCATAATCTTCAGGAAACAAAGAACAATATGAAAAACATCGTTGTAGATGGAAAGGAAGATAATCATAGCTAAGTTTTAGAGCTGGCATAATGTCATTCTCATTGGTCTGTAGTTCCCATTCTTTGCTTTTTAGAACTCTTGTCCAATGGTCCAAAGTAAGTTGGTTTCTTAGTACCCGACCCACCGTTTTTGCTGCAAGAGGGAAACCCTTCAAATTGCTCACTATTTTCTCCCCAACATCACGCAATTCAGGATGATCTTCCCATGCCTTCTGGTGACCAAACACACATGCTTCAAAGAAATCCATAAAATCTTTGTCTTCTAGACGATCCATTTTTATTGGACAATCAATTGTCTTAACCATATATGCCACTTCTGGAATTCGAGTTGTCACTATAACCATATTACCCTTCTCTCCTCCTCTTCCAAATGGTGCTAGTAGTTTTTTCCACTCGTCTTCGTGACATGTCCACATGTCATCTAGCACAAGTAAATACCGTTTAACTTTCAATCTTTGTTCAATTCGCTCTTGATCAGTACTATTTTTGTTTTCACCATCAACTTCAGGAATTATTTTCACTGCTGCTTGTGCCAACCTACTAGCATTAAAATTGAGGGAGACATATCCAAATTGTGACCTCGAAATGGTCCTTCACCTCTTTATATACGTGCTGTGTGAAAGTTGTCTTCCCAATGCCGCCTGGACCAACAATTGGAAGCACCACAAGGCCATCTGCTAAATATTCTCCATGCTTAATGCCGTCTATAATAATCTTTTTCTGATTATCCCTCCCATACAACTTAGGCTCTATAATGTCCGGAGTGGTCTTGCGACAGCCCATAGCACTGTTTTGGGTTGTAGTATGGTTGGAGCCTAATTGCTCTAGCTTAAGAATAGCAGAGCCCAGCAACTCCATATCAAGAATGGTGGAGACCTTGGCAGACACAGGCCTTAGCTTCTCTACAATTTCTTTCATCTTACTGGATATCTCCACCCTGTCAAACCTCAACTTTGGTATTTGCACAACACGTTTTCCCTCTTGGGTTTGAATCTTGGATGGACAAGCACAACAGAAACTTGGCCACCCATTTCCTGGCATGTTGGAGGCGTGCAGCACGTCAGAGTGAGCATTATCAGTTTATCACAGATACATGGAAATGAGCAGCAAGGGTGTCACTTACCGATGGTATGTGCAGCCCGACGAGCAGTCGAAGCCACCTTTGACATGAACCCGCCATTCTGGTCGCTCTGGATGTTGGGTGAATTTGGTATGGAGCGGATAGCACGCCTGCCACACGAACAGATGACAGAGAGGCATCCTTGCATTGCATCATCTTCATGCTCGCCAGGGTCAGGATTGCCACGGCTTGCTTGACGCGAGCCCGAGGAGAGCTTCAGCATCCTTGCAACAGCTCTAGCAGTGTGGCGTGTGTTTAGGATGAGGTCGTGCACGCAGCCCCCATCGTGGATGTCGGCGGCATGGTAGGTGCCGTCGAGCTCGTCCTGGATGCGAAAGTAGTCGAGCTCGTCAAGCACGTCGTCGGCACCATACGCCAGCTGCTGCAGCTTAAGTAGTAGCTCCTTGAGCGCAGGGCTCCGGATCTCCCTTCCCTGCGCGTTGTCGAGCATCCCTTGCGCGTATAGGAGCTCCATCTTGAGGGTCTCAACGTTGGGGCCGAGCCCCGCACTGGCCACCCATGCCTCCAACAGGCCGTCCGTGACAGGGCCTAACGCCTTGCTCAGCACCCAACGCGCCGCGCTGACAGCGGCAAACTCCATCCTCAGGCGACCACGCAGTGGATCTTTGGGGACGCTGCAACGAGCAAGGAAGGCCAACTCGTTTGCAGACGCAATTAGGCACTAGAATTACTGATGTTAATTGCGAATGCAGTAAAAACATGCGGTAGATGTGATTCGTTGCTGCCAAGCCAGGAAGATTTAGCGTTCTTACAGTTTAAGGGGAAAAAAACTAGAACATAGTAAGGTATACTTAACAGGGTCTGAAGCTCCTGTTGGAGCGCGGGCTTCAGAGGTTGACACAACGACAGGCGTTGAGATGTGGTGGAGGAATGCAGAAGAGCTGTGAGTCTGTGACAGTGTGCAGGGTGAACTGGTGAAGTGAAGATGGCCAAGAGCAGATGTGCGGAGGAGTTGTTCACGGAGAGAGTGAAGCGTGGAAATGGCGGAGTTGTAAAGATGTGAGCAGAGTCGTCAATGGCCCAATGCCAGCGCCAGTTCTGATAGTTTAGTGGTATCGAGGTCGAGGCATCGAGATATGGAGTATCAAACGGAAACAGAGCCATCGAGATATCAAATGGAAACGGACGGCATCACAGCTGAGCGCGGCGACATCAGACATGTGAATGTGACAGACGCAGATAATCTCCCCCAGCTGCTTACTTTACTCCTCTCGAATCTTGAGGACAGCGATGGCAGGCAGAGGAATATGCACACTGCAAGAACAAGAAGACAGCAATTGGGTTACCGTTGGCACTTGGCAGCGAGCGGGAACAAGAAGCAAGCTTTTTTCGCGGGCTCCGTAACAATCCGGCCTGCACTTATGAGATTCGGCCCAGGCCCAATCAAGGACAGAGAGCTGTCAAGTACTCGCGTTCCGAGACCTTCCAGTTCCAATCCGAGAATCGGCAGACGTGGGGACCTCCCATTGGATGGCGCTGGATGCCCTTCACCTTCACTCCCGTCCCAGATTCATCATCTACCTGCAGGCTGCAGCAAAGGCAGAGCAGATCCCCTTCCATCTCCGAGCTGCCATACCACACCATGGACAGCGCAACTCCTCTGCATAGTCCGCTGCGAAGAAACCTTGAGTGATCGATCTCGTTGTCCTGAAACTTGGAGTTGGAGGCGAGAGAGGCCACGGGAGAGCGCCATGGTTCTCGTGCTGCTGGGCTGCTCTCCTGCATCGTCGCGCCCAGACTGCTCTCCAGCTTCCAGGTACTGGCCCAGGAACAGAGTGCCGGCGTTATGGTTGGTTTTCCTTGGTGATGATTGTCGACTGGGTCAGGTTGAGGAGGGTGGTTGTTGTTGACAATGGGGAGGGGACTGACGGCAAGGTTTGAGATGCTATTAGAGTTTCAAGCGTGTGTTTGGGTGTTCCTGAATCTAGAGGCTAAATGGAATTCCCACTTTACTAAAGATCCAGCCACGGTGACTATCACTGTAGCAGTAGCTCACTATCATTGTCATCCTTGGCCACTTGGCCTGGATTCGATGCAGATGAGTTCATCCAGATTATATTACGAAAAGGAGCATGCCAAGTTGCAGTAAAACTTACTGGTTTTCTGAATGCCATTCCACACTGAGTCTGTTGGTTTCGGCTTGGCAGGAGAAGATGTAGCACAGCCGGACAGAAAATGGTCAGATGCTCTCTGAATGAGGAAACACAGCTGAACAAACATGGACTAGTATCTAAGCAGTTAATCTCATGCCTTGCTGCTTCGCTTGTGTTCGTCTCTCCACCTAGTCAGGTACCTATTTGCATGTTCCACCTACTAGTCAGGTACCTATTTGCATGTTCCATCATCTTATTAGATCCACTTGTACCATATCACTATCAGGTACAGACACAAAAGCCTAGAGACCACAATGAGGATTCTTTTCGCATTATGTTTGTAGCTGCTTAAGTGTATGCACATACGTATCACCAAAGACCAAAGGTTTAGAGACAACATATAGATAAAAAATTTTGTTCGTCAAAAGAAACATAAGGAAAGAGCAAAGGTGCACCAGAGTAGCCACATGATTCATTCAATCAAGAAAGCAAAAATTAACTGACTTCAGTGCACACTACACACATGGAAATAATGGGAGTAAGATTACCAGTTAAAATAAGTATATTCCACAATGCCGATGAACTCTTCTTGTTGACCAGGCTATTCCTGCAGAAACCTTTGCCCGTCCAGGCTTGTGCCAGATTGCAACAGTGGCAGCCATTGACAGTGCTTCAGTTCCTCTGAAGTTTGACAACCCTTCAGATGACGGCAGCACAGGGATGATGATGATGAGGGGTATGACTGCCAAAAACTTCGATCCAGTTCGCTACTCTGGTAGATGGTTTGAGGTAGCCTCATTGAAACGTGGATTTGCTGGTCAGGGACAAGAAGACTGCCATTGTACTCAGGTATTGTAATGCCTGAAACATCGAACAGATTGGACAGGATGTCTGAAGCCAGAAATTTCTCCATTTATCTAAAAAAACATCTCTGTCTGCATGATGGTGCTACAATAATTCATAATCAGTCATGATAAACTAGTACTTGATATCTTAATAACAATATTGTTTGAGATAGAGATGGTATTTCCAATTTTCCATATGCTTTGCATGATATAGTCTGTAAATGGGTGTTGCACATTTTTTTTGGAACTGCAGGGAGTGTATTCATTCGATGCGAAGTCGCGCTCAATCCAGGTGGATACATTCTGTGTCCATGGTGGACCTGATGGATACATCACTGGTATTCGGGGGAGGGTGCAATGCCTGTCCGAAGAGGACATGGCAAGCGCTGAGACAGATCTTGAGAGGCAGGAGATGATCCGTGAGAAATGCTTTCTCCGGTTCCCCACACTGCCATTCATACCCAAGGAGCCCTACGATGTCCTTGCAACTGACTATGACAATTATGCGGTTGTGTCTGGAGCTAAGGATACAAGCTTTATTCAGGTGAGGAACTGAACTATGAACTGCTGAAAGTTCTTTATTTGCGGTTTTACCTGGGTTCCTGGAAAAGGTAATCTTAACATGAAAATCTCCTAAGAACTGATTATATAGTGAACAGAACTAGGTCATTTATTTGTTTTTATCTCAAAAAAAACTTCATTGTTTTATGGATACTTGAACTTTGAAAGTGTGTGCTGTTGAATAATAATAATATTAAGCAAGTATGAAAAGTTACCTGTATAATGGTAAACACATCTTATCTGATGCACTCGTGATCTGAAACACCATAGGCACTAAAACATCTTTCTGCCACTGATCAGATATACTCAAGAACACCCAACCCCGGGCCAGAATTCATTGAGAAGTACAAGTCCTATGTTGCCAACTTCGGCTATGACCCAAGCAAGATCAAGGACACCCCTCAAGACTGCGAGTACATGTCCTCAGACCAGATTGCCTTGATGATGTCGATGCCCGGGATGAACGAGGCCCTGACGAATCAGTTCCCAGATCTCAAGCTAAAGGCACCAGTCGCACTTAACCCATTCACAAGTGTGTTTGATACCTTGAAGAAGTTGCTTGAACTGTACTTCAAGTAAAACCAGTGTAGCATTGTTCAGTAACCAATTGTCCACTTGTCCAGTTGGAGCTGCATGGAATGAAGTTCAGTTTGTTCTGACTTTTGCTAATATGAATTTTGCTATATGCTTTATCAGAATATCTAACATTCTCCCAAAAACCATGATGATACTGAACTATTTGAATATCCAGTAACCTCAGTGAAGTGTATGAGCTAGAAAATTAGAACTCACCATCAGAAAAATAAACTTCCGTTGCTGCCTGACTTGCATGTGGCCTTGGCAGTGGCTTGTTAGAGTTTTGAGAGAACGATAGCTGAAACCAAAGGAGGAAAACAAAGCGATGTATAAGATTAATATTTGTATCAGTTAGTTCTTTAAGTTGATTGTTTTTTCTAGTACGTGCTATACAAGAGCGGAATATATAGGATTCAGATCCGTTCTTCAGTTACTGGGTTTGTTCTTTTCTGATGTTTTTATACACCAGGGCAATTGTCTGTCCCTGATAGGCCATCGCAAAATCGCTTATTCCTTGTATGACATCGAGTTACAAAACATTATTACTGTACCCTTTATTCTATTTTAACTCCCCCTTATTAGTTTTTTTTTTTTTTTTTTTTTGCCAAAGACCTTCAGTCGTTCATACAGACCAGAGAACACCATGGTTGGCATCACATGTTCATGGCAGCAATAGAAGAAGGGTTGGCCGGTTGGGAACCTCGTGTGGGAAACAGATCGAATGAGCAGGTCGAGAGGGGTCTAACGATGGCGATTTAATGGCCGGAGGGGCCCTGGTAAGCCCCATGAGCACACCTTGCCTATTACCTGCTCGACGAAAAGCCCAAAAGGATGGCCGCTCGCCGTCACCGTACCACCCGCAGCCGGTGCTTGAAGCCAGCACCAGAGCGCGGCCTCGTGCACCGCTCTCCGTCAAAAGGCTTGTCGGCGTCGCTGCCTTCCCGCCCGCGTGCCGGCACGCCCGGCTGCCCGAGCGAGCAGCACATCTGCGCTCAATCAGCTGGCTGAACCACGCGTGCCCACGATACTCTCCTTTTTTTTTTGGAACCAGTCGGGCACTCCTATCAAAAGAGAAAATTACATAGAAATCCACGCTAGGAGCACACAACGATCCTCGCCGCTGCCGACCACCTTGGCCGCAAGCCCAGCCTTCTCTATCTCCCGCAATGAAGAAGAACTCTAGATGAAACTCAAGGCCGAAACCTGAGTCGATGAAAAGATTTTCAAAGCCTATCAGCAGCACACCAGAAGCATGCCGTTTATCCGCTGAACGCCCCGGGTGGTCCTCGCATTCACCAGGCTCGGTCGCCGATCGTCTCACCAACAAAGCCCAGTCGACAACACAGCAATCTCGCAAGGGGACTCGGAGAACACCAGCTCGGACACCCGAGGAGGTGGAGAATAACCTCACAAAGCAGTCACGGACAACATTATGGATGTCCTAACCTCCGGCAACCATGGCGGTGATTGCAACGTTGGCGATGCTGCAGACTTCTTGAACACCTCTGAAGCTGGGTCGGCACCACCGCACGGCACGCGCGCAGCCCAAGCCCTCCGCCAATCGGCACCATGGGCCTCCGGACGCGAGGCCCACAAGCGAAGAAGCATGGGCCTCCTCTATGCTGAAGGCGACGTTCCCTCGCGTTAATTGTGGCATAGGTTCCGTTCCCCAATTCTTCTCCCTCGCGGCGATCCGGATTCCGCAGCAACGGCCCCTCTCGTCTTCTCCCTCGTGGCGCTCGATCCCTCCGGATTGGCGCGTGGCGGGTTCGGTGGTAAGGAAGCGATACTTCGTTTGGATTCATTGACCGTTTCCATTTATGATTTATTTGGTGTGAGCGTTCAAATCGAAATTTCTCCCTGGGATGGATGCTCCGATCATGGCGATTCACTTGATGTGTGATGGCAGTTTATTTCCTAATTTTGGGGTCGACTGATCACGATGTCCCCGTGTTATGTTCGTACTATGTGCAGATTGCAACGTTCGAATTGAATATATGCATGCGCAGATCAATCGGCTTGTGTGTTGATTTATTTAAGGAATCAAGTTACTCTTTATTGATTACCTTTTACTCTCGCATTTTAGACCAGGAAATATATTTGCCTCTTTCCTTCTAATCCTTTTGAATTATTTAGCAGCAGCCTCAAAATCTATGACATAAAAATGTGTTGTGAGAACATTAAATTTCAGCCTGTACTGTTGCTTTGCCAAGACGCGCTCTAAACATTGCATTGTTGGTTGTAAATTGTGCCATGTAGCTTCTGAAATTCTACGCGTGCCTTTTCATTCTGATGGTATTTGTTCCACTGCATCACTTTCCCAGTTTAGAGGAGAGACACAAGTGCTGATTGACACCAACGGGGTATTCTTACCATTTTCAGATTCAACTGGTTGAACAAAACTAGTAAAGATGGCATCAGAAGGGAACAAAGATGTACCTAATGAAGCTTTGTCCGTGGATCAATCATCGATTTCTGGTGTGAAGCGCAAGCGTGGCCGCCCAAGGAAATATGAGTATCCTGTATATGAACTACCACAGAAGGTACAGCCCATCCAGAGCGCCCCACCTCTTGTTCACTGCACACAAGATGGCAGTATGGCCAGCCATACATTAGGTGGCAGTGCTCATGGTAATTGGTCCGGTCAACCTAGGAATCCGGCTAATGCTTCTCTTCAAGGTAATTCTGGCAAGGATGACTTTCTTGGCAAGCATTTTGTTGGCAAGCTGACCAAGAAAGTTCCTGGGTTTTCCCTCATTACGGTAAAAGTGAAGGACAATCAGGTGCTCAAAGGTTGGGTTCCAGATGAAATTAATCTCCGTCCAATAACACCTAAGGATGACCTTGCCCCAGAGCTACCCATGCTTCGATCGAGTCAAGTTCGAAAGCGAGCATCAGCAATCCATATGCAACCTGCTCTTCTTGTGCCAATGCACTTGGAGGATGTTACACTTGCAAAGCCTCTGCAGATGAGAAGACCTGTTGAGAAAACTATTGCTAAGCATGCTGTGCCTCTTGCTCCTAGGCCTTACATTGGTTCTGGTGTTGTTGCAGCAGTACCTATATCAGTTGCTCCCAGTAATCCTGAAACAAGAACTTTGGCCAGGCAGGATGCTGAACTTGTAATCCCACAATCATCAGTTGCTGCGGTGCCAATTAAATCTGTTCGTCCTGTCTCGGTACCATGCAAGCCTCTGCAAAATGAGTTTACTGGAAAGAAGTCTGTTGATGAGGTTCAGAAAGATTCAGAACCTCCAAATGTAACCAAGGAATCACCAGGTATGCTTTGCTGGATTGGTGCCCTGTTGTGTTTCAGATCATTGACTTGAATTCTCTAAACTGTTTTGTCCCGCAGACTGCATTTCCCATCTGATTTTTCAATCTCATAAGTCTTATGGCTGCCATATTAATGCTTGTAAATTTGTTCTTTTGTAGTGAAAGCTGAAAAACCAAACATTGCTCTTGTGGATGTAGTGGTCAAGGATTCTCCAGGTCAAAACTAGTTTATGCGCTACCCTTTATATAAAATTAAATGAAAATTGTCTCTGGGTTGAAAGAGACTTCAACTAATGTGGCCTGATCTCCTTACCTTGATTGGTTCCTACAGGGGAAAGGCAACAGCTTAATGATCAAGTAACAGATGTGGTTAGGGAATCTTCTGGTAAGATCTAGAATTCTATGCTTGAAGTATAACTGGCATAATGCATGTAGTCTAAGTGCTCTTTCTCCTGGCAGGTCAAACTCAGAATGTTGATGTGACAATGTCTGATGAGATCAAGATAGCATCAGGTACAATATAATTTTATACCCCTGATTTCAATTCCATATTATTTTATTAAAACTTAAAAGTGACCATTAAGTGGGGGATTTCTTCAGGCGCCAGAGATCAGCCAAATTCTGCAAATAGTGAACAGCAGAGTTCTAAGGAACCATCAGGTGATATATGATCCCAATATTTCACACGCTTAAAAAACTGGCCATGATCTTATACCGTGGGTATGAAAATTTAGACATCACAGAACAATCTGAGCAGCTGAAGACACAGACCGATGTCGAGAAAGGAGTTGATGCCTCAAAGTCAGATGCCTCAGGTAAAAACGAAAACGAAGCCTAAACCTCTCCTTTTAATGTTTCTAGTGGCATCCGAATCTTGATTTTATGATAAAGTATTGCGATGACTGAATACTTTTGTGTTGATCAAATCAAAGGGAATGTAATGATTTGATTATACCCTTTTATCTGCACAAACTAAAAAGTTGTACTAAATGTAGGAATTTGTAATTTGTTGAACTGCATCCAAGATGTCTAGTTCTCTTGTGTACTCTCCTCTCTTAATGAAATGAATATGATATGCAACTCTCATGTGTTCGAGAAAAAAAAAGATATATAATTCTTTATCCTACACTTTTTTGGACCCTACTAAGCCCATGCCAAATTTGTTGCAAAAATTTGTACCTGTATGCAATTTGTTATCTGCCATTCATGGCTAGACTGGGTGGCCATTGGCTCATCCTAACCTACCTTTTGCCTATTGCTGAAGCTTTTAGTACAGGCAGCTTAGCATATAAATATGTCACCTCCTAGGGAGACTTCTTTTTTACTGCAAGAGCTAACAAACTACTGTGGTGTTTAAATTTGTATAATTCCAGATGACATTCAGCCTGCGCATGATGAACAAGAAATGAAGGTTGGCGGTAAATGAAAGTAGAGATCAAGATTCAATGAACACAACACAGATCCTGATGTTTAGTGAAAGTTTGCTGCCTGTAATGTTTCTGTCAAGCTTATTGGGATGTGTAGCTTGAGTTTTTGTGAATGGACCAATGCTTTAGGAGTAGACTCCTACCTTTACATTTTAGTTTTATTCCCTGGCAAGTATAGGTGAGAGATTAAGTAGAGATACAGAAACCCAAAAAAATCACCTAGGACATATCAGTTATGGCACAGGTAGAATTGCAAACCAGAAAAAAAACAGGGAGAAAGAAACATTATTTGATGTACTT